AGAAGGGGGGGGAGCCGTCGAGCCGGGAGAGCGTGCGCGCGCAGAGGCGGGAGAAGGGAGACGCAGGCCCCCGGGTTGAGACCCCGGCGCGGGCGCCCGGCTGAGCTCTCGCCATGACCTGGAGCGTCACGGCGCGGGGCGCGCACCAGCCCGACAACACGGCCTTCACGCAGCAGCGTCTCCCGGCCTGGCAGCCGCTGCTCTCGGCCGGCATCACGCTGCCTCTCTTCTTCTGCGCCGGCCTGGCTTTCATCGGCCTGGGCCTGGGCCTCTTCTACTCCTCCAACGGCATCAAGGAGCTAGAGTACGACTACACCGGCGACGGCGGCACCGGCAACTGTTCGCTGTGCGCCGCCGAGGGCCAGGGCCGCGCGCCGCCGCCCAGCTGCTCGTGCGCCTGGTACTTCTCGTTGCCCGAGCTCTTCCCGGGCCCCGTCTACCTCTACTACGAGCTGTCCAACTTCTACCAGAACAACCGGCGCTACGGCGTGTCCCGCGACGACGCGCAGCTCAGCGGCCTGGTCAGCGCGCTGCGCCACCCAGCCAACGAGTGCGCCCCCTACCAGCTCAGCGCCACCGGCCTGCCCATCGCGCCCTGCGGCGCCATCGCCAACAGCCTCTTCAACGACTCCTTCACGCTATGGCACCAGCGCCAGCCCGGGGGACCCTACGTCGAGGTGCCTCTCGATCGCACCGCCATCGCCTGGTGGACCGACTACCACGTCAAGTTCCGCAACCCGCCCCTGGTGAACGGCAGCCTGGCGCTGGCTTTCCGCGGCACGGCGCCGCCGCCCAACTGGCACCGGCCGGTTTACGAGCTCAGTCCCGATCCCAACAACACTGGCTTCATCAACCAGGACTTCGTGGTGTGGATGCGCACGGCGGCGCTGCCCACCTTTCGCAAGCTGTACGCGCGCATCCGTCAGGGCAACTACTCGGCCGGCCTGCCCCGGGGTTCCTACCGTGTCAACATCACCTACAACTACCCGGTGCGCGCCTTCGGCGGCCACAAGCTCATCATTTTAAGCAACATCTCATGGATGGGTGGCAAGAACCCTTTCCTGGGCATCGCCTACCTGGTCGTCGGCTCCCTCTGCATCCTCATGGGCTTTGTCATGCTGGTCGTCTACATTCGCTACCAGGACCAGGACGACGATGACAATGATGACGAGTGATGCTGCTTCCCAAAGACCCATTCCTGCTTCTCGGCCAAGCCGCTTTTAGCGGTGGCCTTTTTGCTCCTTGATACAACTTCAAGCTCACCGATAGCCTCTTGTGAACGAAGGGCCTGGAGAAAGGAATCACCCTCTTCCTCTTAGAGATAACAGTACTGTTCTCGGGTTTTGGATTGCCGAATGCCATATCTTGTGATTTCTTCTCATCTCTCCCGTGGCTTTCCAAGTTGGCACGTCAGGTCCTTAAAGTTATAGCATTCCAAAAGACAGAGGAAATCCCTGGACTGAAACTCGTTAAGCCCAGCAGCCTGCAGTTGGAACTTGATGCTGAGTCTAAGCTTTTTATTCGCCAGTAACACAAATTTCTGGGAGGGAGGTTTAGGTGGGGAGAGGGAGGGCTGAGATAGAGAGTGGTGGCCACTGGTGGCCTGCAGAAACTTGGAGGAGTGGGGAAAGGATATTTGATAAAATTTAAGTCGATGAAAAGTCATCAGACCTCTCAGGTTCTGATCCAGGAAGGCCAGGATGCACAGCCTTCCCTGTAGAGTCTCTGCACCTTTGAATTTGGGAATCTTGAGTGAGGCTGGGCCTGAAGCGCTCACCTGAGTTCGGGTTTTTTCCTGTAGTAATTTGTTCCCGTGAACAGTGACAATCAGAGTACTCGGGATTGGTCTTAAACACAGGAAGCTTGCAATTTGTGGAATGAATGAGAAAAATTGCTAGCTCTGAGAAACCAGCAGGAGCATGCCCACTCATAATTAAATGTAAAAGCATGCTTCAGAAGGCACTATGGAAAAACCTGAAAATGCAAGGCCAGTTTGCATGGCTCAGGAAGAAGTGTCTTAACCTTAGAAACTGAGGTGCAAATGATCTTAGCAGGAAGCTGTTTTCCTGGGACCCTGAGAGTCCCTTGCCTCTTTGCTCAGTTCCTTTTGAATTAACATTATCATTTTTTAATGCTTAAAAGAGTAGTTTAATTCATTCATCATTTTCACGAAGAGCTATCTTAAACACAGTTTTAATTTACTCGCAAATGAAATTCACTTCTAGTGATCAAGTTTAAAGAATGCTGAGGATTATATTCTTACATGCAAAATAGACTCAGGGTTATTTCAGCCTTAATGGTAAAATCACTCAGCTGATTTTGATTCCCCACAATTGACTGAAAGCTATAAAATAAAGGTACAATAAAGGGACATTTATTTTAAAACCCTCCTTTTATGCCATGATACCATCTTCCAGTTTTCCTGAAGAAAACAGTTAACTTGGTGTGGTCCCTGCTCTCCATTGCAGTTATTTTTGGGTTATCAATGTATTTTCCTTCCCAAAAGGCCACACAAGGTCTTGAAGTATGTTTTTGTTTTTATGGCAGTTAAATACTGAGTTACAGAGAGTAATTTCTATGCATTCTCTTGTTCTGTTGTAGTTGATTGTGGATGCACAGCATATCTGTCTAAGATTCAAAACTGACTGAAAATCATCTCGTCTCATTTTTATGGATGTCAGAAAATTCTTTAGTAATTCCAGTGTGCTGACTTTCTGACTTCTGAATGTGATAAAATTTAACATCAGATCCCAGACTGTGATTTTTGACTGAAATGCTGATCATTACATGTACTTTTAGAAAGTTTTATTTATTATGAATGCTTGGCTGGGCAGCTCTGTTCTGTGTCGGCTAGTGAGTTTGCTACATTTTTTTCACTCTGTAGTTGAGGGTAACTATGTATTTTGCTATCATTTGTACAACATTAGTCTTTTGTTATAACTTTTTATGTGAGACCATGAAACATAAAGTCCTGTGATTAAACTGTAGTTCCAGGCCTTGTTTTCAAGGCTTTGAAACGAGAATAAAGGTTGTGTTTGTCTTTCTCTGTTATCACATTACTTAGCTCTTTTGACCTGTGATCTTAAAGGCACAGACGGTACCAGCCATTTGCCCGGCGTTGCTAGTGGAGTGACTAACAGATTGATGTTGCAGCTGGAACATCACCTTTCAGAATAAGAATCCGTCAATGCGAACTCATTCTTTGATCGCTAACTTCCGAAAACAGCGTTTGGACTTACATCTGCATCCTGTGTTTGGATTACATGACCCTCAATTATTGTTTAAATCTGATAGGTGACCATCTCTTTTCAATTTTAGTATGGAATGTTATTAAAAAATGTGATCGTAGCAGCCCTGCCTCTCTGCATTTTACTCAGATTGCAAATCACTAGTAGCTGTTGGTGCCTGAGACTGCAAAAGAGCAGAAAGTTTAAAACCAAACTGTCAGGCCTTGGCCTCAGTGCCCCCTTGTGCTGGGTAGCGTTTTTGTCCAGTATCGGGATGCTGATTGATTGTGTCCTCATGGGTTTCCCAGTTGGAGGTATGTCTTCTAAGAGTGAGACTCGAGAGTGAACCTCAGCGGTTGGACCAGGAATAAACTGCCCTGCTTTGTGAAATGAAGATACAAACAAAAGTGTTCAGTGAGATAACCACCTCCATAAAAAATTTAAATAATTAAAAAACAAAACCAAACTGAGGTTCCCAGTGTCTTCCACAGCTGAAGTCACTCAACAATCTGTTGATTAGACAGTTGTTAAAAAGTCACGAACAGACTGTTCCTTTGGAACAAATGTTACTTAGTAGGTTATAACCACAACTCATCTGCCACACCGAAGAGTGCTTGGTAAGTCTCTGTTATCACACAATTCCTTATATGGACTTGAATAAAAGTTACCCATCACTATAAATAAAATTAAATTCTTTATTTGCACTGGACATTCATTTATGTTCTACTTGGCTATAGGTAAAACAGCTGGTTAATTTTAGATGGCAATTAAAAAAGTAATCTCCCCCCAGGAGAATGAGAAATTAAAGAGAATAAGAGATTAATTCTGTCTTCAACAGTAGATTCACTTAAAGGGCCTTCCCAAACCTAAGGCCTTGAAGAGAGTTCACTTGATAGCTTCGCTCTGTAAAGAACTGTCTACCTTTTTTTTTTTTTTTAGAAGTTTTCTAGTCGCTGATATTGTACATCAGCTCCTCTATAATTTTCCCACGAAGAATGGCAGTGTGCACTTGGGGCAAACCTACTCACATTGCTCTGCCATCCTGGATGAAGATAGTCATCATCAGTGCTCTGGTGTCGGGGAGGGTTCTAGAGCATGCCAAGCTTCAGTTAGCCTACCTGCGTCTAACACAGAGAAATGCCTGGGAAATGAGAGCAAGCACACACTGGGGTCATAGACAGGGAGGGAAGGCTGGAAGGGAAAGGTGACCAGATATATCCCTAGGCTGACAGGATACCCAGGGGGCATGGGGTCAGCAGCCAGCAGTAATGTGGAGAAGACAAGGCTGGCTCAGTCACAGAATCCACTAATGGCTGGACTATGTGGGATTCAGTGAGTGAGTAGCAGCTCTTCACTGCACCCCTTGC